TTTAAGCCCCCAGTGAGATCTCACAAATGTGGGTTTTGGTAATTCTGACAGAAGTTGTCTGCAGGCTACCTACAGAAGACTCTTCAAAAGGGGTTCCAGGTTTCTGCTGAGTCCTGGCATCTTACGACAACAGAAACAGCCCGTGGGTGATGTGTTTTCTTAGAAAGTAGAAGGCTTTCTAACAATACGAACTTTCTAAAAATGGAATGCATCCTGGGGAGATTGAGTTCCCTGCCTCTGGACAGTGGCCACAGGATGCTGGTGACCAACTGGCTGGGACACCTCAGAAGGGACGTGGACACTAGGAGAAGATGGGCTAGGTGACTCCCAGAATCCTGGCCAGTTGAAGGATCTAAGGAAATGAAGAAGAACATAGGAAAAAAAAAATCTCTTGCCTCAAATCATACAATCATTTCAGGGAATAAAAAAATATAGGTTCTTAAAATTATCTCACCTTCCAAAAAGACACAACCATGTACTATCATCTACTTTCACAGAACAAATATATATATTGGACTCCCACTATAACAAATACCATGGTATTCAAAATATTCCAAGGAAGTTTGGCATAGGCTTCCTGTCCATGGCAACCCTTCAGCAAATAGCAAACTTGAGCACAGCTTCTGCAGTGTAAATACTTTAGGATGCAATCTTTGCATTTACTAGAATTAGGTGACCTGTTCATAGGCAAAAAAAGAAAAAAAACCTATAAATATGACGGAGCCTGTCACCAGATGAAAATCCATATGGCGTACTGCCAAGGTAGATTCAGTATCAGTGTCAACTTCAGAGGTCACCAAACAGGATTAGACCAGCTGGATAGTGTGAGGCAGATCCCGAACTACAGAGGTGGGAACATGACGCCCCTTGGTTCTGGTTTCCATACCATGAACTCATGGGGCAGCCTGTGCTTCTCCTTTACAACATGTGTACTCATAATTACATGAGCCAATTACTAGTTCTGTTGTTAGTGTGTTTTCACAGTAGAAATTCCAGAAAGGCAAAATTCTCACTGTATCTGTGCCTCCTACTTTTATATAACATGTGAGAAAAAAGAAACTATGTTTACTGAGTAAAAGAATAGCCATACAGCCACTACATCAGTAAAAGTGACATCTGAGACTTAGAGACAAAGCTGTGGGGAAACAAGAGTGCCGAGTATGTAGCCTGATGTTACTACCTCAGAAATCGGATACTTTCAAATGATAGTAGTGATAGGCTTATTATATGACCTAACAAATCTACTTCCATGCATGCCTCCAAGTGAAGCCTGCATTATGCACAATACATTTTTATGTATTGAGATGTTCATAGCAATATTGTTCATAATTGCCTCAAAGAGGAAACAACCAAATATTCATGAACAGTGATTAGTAAACCATGGTTTATTTATGCAATGTAACACTGTATGGCAATAATGAATGAACTACAGCATCACTGAAAAACACAAAGAGGAATCTCATGAGACATACTGAACAAAAAAACCAGGACACAAAGGGGTAGGTGGCCATTCACATAAACTTCAAAAACAAGCCAAACTGAGCTATAGATTTTAGAAATGCTGTAATATGTAATGAGTTCTAACAAACATTCCAAGATCCAAGAGATCAACATGTATACGAACTGTTCCAAATAAAAGCATATAAGTAGCTCAGTAGAATAAGTGCTTCCCTGGCAAGCGCAGGGTCCTGAGTTCGATCCCTGGTACAGCAAAAAAGAAAAAAAAAAGCTTTTAATGATGGTAATTCCAAAAGCGAAACAGTATACTCTGAAAAGTTCAAGTCAACTTTACTAATACAATTTATAATTTTTTTAATTTTTAAAAAATCTTATTTATTCATTTATTTGGTACAGGGTCTCGCTATGCAGCTCACACTTATAGTGATCCTCTTGTCTCAGCCTCCCCGGTGCTGGGATTGTAGCACGTACCATCATGCTCAGTTTCAGCGGCCAGCACAGTGCACCTGGGGTTCTGGGGCCAGCACAGCATGTGGTACTGGGGACTGAACCTGGGCCCTTAAGCTTGCCAGTCATGCATTTAGACCACTGACTTATCTCCCCAGCCCAACCTTACTAATACAACTGCATAAACCCTAAACAAAATTTCAGACCTCAAATCCCAACAATGTACATTTAAAAAAAAAAATTTGGTTTATTAAAAAGATATAAGACAGGGTCAATGTCAGAACATCTATTAATATAAATTAAAGCACTCTAGAAACAATTTGGCACTCCTAGGATGTGCCTGCTCTATGACCTAGTAATCCTTCCCCATGGAACACCCTATGAAGACTACCCATCTGTATTAACACCCTCTACAAAGACAAACCTGCTAGGCACATCATAGAAAAATGGAAAATAAATTATGGCATATTCCTACAATAGTATACTACACCATGGTAAACATGAATGAATAGTAATTAACTCTGGGGTAATGGGTGAAAATAAGAAAAACAAATTGCAAAGAAGCATTTCAGTCAGTTTCAGGAATATTAGTAAGATTTTATTCCCCAACCTGGGTGTGGAGTATATGGGTATTTCTTTAATTCTCTAAAAACCAGCTGCAGAGCTGGGAATGTAGCTAAGCAGTGCACACCTGCCTAGCCAGCACGGGCTCCAAGTCTGATTTGCAGTACAAAGAAAAAAAAAAAAAAACAGGAAAGAACAGAAAATAGTAAAATCCTGCTATAATCCTTCTATACATCTTCTGGTACACACAGGCATGTTGCTCCATGTGTTAAATAACAAGGATATGTCCACAATCTGGCAAATCTTCTAACGACAAACAACATGACTGTTCAACAATTTAATTGCAAGAGTGGGGGTGGAGTGAGGATTAACTATAGATTAAGACACATCCTGACCAAATGCAATGTATGGACCTTATCTGAGTCAAGAGGCGAACTTGTTTTTATCCTAAAAACATGACACTCTCAGAGAAACTTGAACATTGAGTGAATAATTATGCAAAGAAATCATTTCTACGTATGATAATGCTATCATGCTTTTAAGAAATTCTTATCTTTTAAAGATAAATAATGAAGAAATTACAAATCAAATGTTCTCTGGAATTTGTAAAAAAAAGTTTGATGAGGGGGAGGAGCATGAAAGGAGATCAAGGTGGACCAAAGGGCAAACAATTATTGATCCTCAATATTACACATGTAGGATTATACTATTCTATTTCTGTACTCATTTGAATTTTTTTTTTTTTTTTTTAATTTTACGGAAGGGTCTACAGGGTATTCAGGGTCTCACTACTAGATCAGACTCCTAGTGATCCACCTGTTTACAGCCTCCCAAGAGCTGGGATTACAGATGAGCACCACCACGTCCAGTCTCAATTGCTGGCTCAGTGTGCCCTGAGGGCGGGGCCAGCATGACAGGCCCAGGGATCGAACTGCTGGCCCCTGCACTTGCTTGCAAGTATGTGCAGAAAATGTTCTGGCAAGTTCTGTTTTGAAACATTCATAGAGTTCTCTCTGATCTAATGGATCACAAGTTTTAGAAAATGTTACGAATTTATCATATGGGAAGAGTACTTAGAATTTTTAGTCTCTTTTTGCTTAGCTATGTTTTCTAATTGTTTCTACTATAAACAAATCAGAACACTGACTGAAATGCTGTTAGAAAAGATATCACAAAGTTTGCCAAAAAATAAATAAATAAATAAAGATTGCCAAAACACAAAAAGCCTGCTGCCTAACATAGAAAATGTACAGCTACATCTCTTATCCATTTCTGAGTCACAATTTGCAAAAGACCAAAGTGTAAGTTGAAGCCTTAATCTCTAATGTCGTGTCACTTGGAGACGGGGCCTGTGGGTCCTCAGAGTGGAGCCCTGATGAGGGATTAGTGTCCCAGCAATGCAAGGAAGCAGGCTTTCCCTCTCCACCATGTGAGGACACCCCAGGAGGCCAGGAAGGGATCCCTCACCAGAACCCAACCATGCTGCCATCCTGGGCTCCAGCCTTCACAACAGTGACAAATACATTTCTGTCACTTAAGCCCCCAAATACAGGGGCACTTCACAGGATCTGTGGATGCTACTGCCTCTCACCAGAAAAACACATCATCACACAGAATTTTTCATATAATAAGAAACTCTGAGACTGCAATGAACCCACAGGCTATGTTGTTAGTTGTAACAAATAATGAGCTGACATTTACTGCACATTTCCTCTGTGCCAAGCATACTTCTCAGTATTTTACAAATGTTGATTCATTTAATCCTCCCAGAAACCCATGAGATAAGCATTCTCATCAGCCCTATTTTACAGATGATAGTGAGGAGGAGGAAAGGAGCAATTTACAGAGTTCCACAACGATTGAATTTCAGAGCTACCACACAAACTCAGGCAGCCTAGATCCAGAGCTGGGCTTTGACCTGCAAAAATGACACTGCATAAAGTTTAAATATAGCAAGCAAATATGGTATCTTAAATTGTGCTCTGCAGTAGATATTTCAAATTCAACTAACATTAGGTGCCCACAATATACCAAACCCTTTCAAACACATAAGCTCACCCAACCCGAGGGACTCGCCAAGTCTATCCAGCTCACATGGAGAATCAGGAGTTGATCCTTGTCTGACCTCAGGCTCACTCTACCAAAGCTGATTCCCTCTAAGTCCCAGCAGTCATCTGTTCCAAACCACATCTGATTGTCTCATGACCAAAATCTTTTCAAAAATAAGATTTGGTAGATCTAGTTCAAGAGTTTAATTTGTAAATCCTAAAACTGGCTCACAGTGCAAAGCAATCCAGCACTTCAGGACAGCTCTCCTCACCACTGTGCCTTAGCTAGCCAACACACCTTGGGAGAAGACCTGCTTCCAAAAATCTGCACTTGGGCTTCATTATGTGAACAGTATTCATGAAACATTTTGTCCATATATATTGAAGGCATCTGGAAAGTGTTATAACACCACCCTGCACTCACACACAACACAGCCTGTCTAAATACGTGGCACAAGTTACATGGAGTCCTCCAACACTCACAGTTTCACAGTTCAAGCATCGGGTTTCATTGGTGAGCGTTCCCTGAAAAATCTCATGGACCCAAGTGAGTTCTGGTTTATTATTCTCCGCAGGTTCATTCATGTTGCCATTTTTTAATTTTCCATTTTGCTTTTCTTGTTTCTTTTCCTCCTGCAGTATGTCTGCAATAGTGTTCAGCAAATAATTTAAAAACTCGTGTGCATCCTGCTGCATGTAGTTATCAAAGAGATCTGGAAAGGAGAAGGTCATTACTTCAGTCTCTGACTCTTGAAAAGCAAACAGACACACAGATTTGCATGCCACCCAACAACTGCATACTGAAGGGGTGGGCAGATACAGAATACAAATAGATTCATCTTTACTATGCGGCTTCCAAGGGGAAGTTTCCAAATATTTCCATTTCCTACACCCACCAATTTCTTCTATCTTCCTATAGGCATGTGTACAAAACTTGACTCAAATTTTCATTCGTTTTTTTTTTTTTTTCAAATTTTCATTTGTTGTAAAGAAAAACAAAAATTACCTAAGAAGGTCCCTGACAAAATATCAACATTTAATACGATGTTATTACTGATAACCAATTAATCATTGCATAATATATCCAGGGCAACTGAAATCTCCCCAAAAATCATATCAAACCCTGCACCAGCCTAAAAAGCTTGACTGAAATACATAAAAGAGATGAAAAGGACACAGGAGGATGTGTCCAGGTGATGGTGTTCTGAAACCAACTGCAAATGACCCCAGGACACAGCTGCCGCTCCCTGGGATGAGTGCAGCTGTGAAACCTACTATCAGTCATCTTCACAACTAGGCTGGGAGTGTTCCGAATTACTTTTATTCTGGTATGTATAAACTACAACAACTTTAAAAGACAGCAATCAAACTAAACAAGACTGTAAAACAAATATCACATTAACCAAGTCTGTTGGAGTAAGGTGGAATGTGAGAAACATACAAGTTGACACTTCAAATATTTCCCTAGTCAAAAAAAAAAAAAAAAAAATTCCAGTACAGAACTTCTGGAATACATACTCATTTCTACTATCAGTTCCCCCGAAAACAACAGAAGACAAAAAAATTTGTTTTAAATCAGGTGGCACTAATATATTTTTATTATACATAGATTATCAATTTAATACCCTTCAATCATCCTGGTAAATAAAATCAGATCCATTATTTTACAATAGTAGAGGATCTGATTAGGTAATACGCACTTACTCTAATCACTTATGACAAGTTCATAAGAGGGTGCTATTTCATTCATTATTACATCGGCCCATCTAATCCAATGTCCCACTGAGTAGGCTGCCTTAGGCAATTTTTTCTCTTACAATGATCCTACCAAGAATAGTTTTTTTAAAAATTCCAAATGAGATGCTACAGCTTGAATTTTAAAGCATATTTCTAGTCCACTTTTACTTAATGTATAATGGATAGAGAAAAACAAATATCTTTCTTTTTAAAATGACAACTGAGTAGCTGACTACCTCTATTTTCCTTCTTTAAAAAAGCAGCTTTTCATTCTGAAAATACAGAGAGACGTTGGCTTTCCTCATTTCAGAGCTTTGGAACCACGATACTCCACACTACTCACCATTCTCTTTTCTCAGCCTTGAAATGAACTTCTTTGGTGGGATGACGCCGACCTTCTTCTTCTGCGTGGCGATGCTGTGGAAAAGGTCTGCCAGGCACGTCAGCAAGTTTTCCTTCTTTTTTTGCTGGGCCTTGTATGCCAACACGTTCTCACGAAACGGCCGGCAGAAATATAACGCCTGAAGCACGGAGTTGCAGTAGCATGTGTTCCCAAACTGCCGAAGGACAAGAGGGGTGGCTGACAGCACTGTCCAGAGACAAGCCCCCTCTGGGAGAGGTGGGGAGAAGGAGAAGGCCAAGCTCTACCAATCCACCCAGATTTCCCGGGATCGAAGCCCAGCTCACCATACCATAAAATTGATTAACTACTCTAAACACCAGACATTACCTCCCTGTAGTCAACCAGTCTGAAAATGTTCAATGGAAAGTTACAGAGAAAAGCAATTGCTAAGTTTTCAACTGTATATCACCGTGAGCAGCACGGTGAAATCTCACAGCAGCCTGCCTGGGAGGTGAATCACGTGCTTGTGCAGCACATCCACGCTAGCTCTTGCTGCCCCATTCGCCACCAGCAGCACCTCGGCTACGGCCCCCAGTCAGTGCCACAGCGCTCTGACGCTCAAGGAACTGTTACTATACCTCATGATGGCCTGGGAGAGATACTGGTCATCTTATTACAATAAATTGTTTTAATTGTTCTAATTATTCAAACCTATGTTATTTTGTTAACCCCTTATTGTGCCAAATTTATAAATTAAACTTCGTCGTGCATGTGTGTGCATAGGAGACAAACAGCATACATAAGGTACATTATGATTCCTGGCTTTAGGAGTCCCCTAGGGATCCCAAAGTGTGTCCCCCACAGGTAAGGGAAGCCTCCTGTACACAATTCTCGTGCTTCTCCAACTCACAAAAGTCTCTATAAAATGACAATAAGAATTCTGTTTAGGGAAAGCATCTAATGACACCATCTGGTGCTTAGAAAAAAAGAAAGAAAAAAAAATCTTTTTATTTGAAGACCCAGTAAGTAGCTGGTTAAATAAAAGATCCTGCATTCTAGCACATCAAAGCTCCCATGACAGACTAAAACTCCAAATCAAAAAGAAAACTGAGGAACCCCATGCAAAGCTCAATCCGCCTTAACGTGGGCTGTGTTCTTCTTTCAAGATTCCAGCATCCCTCCTACTGGACCGGATGTGTCCTTGTTGTGCAGTAACAAAGGCAGAAACGTTCTCAAGTCATCCCCCCAGCTCCCTATACCTCTTACCTTCTAAATGACACCACCCACTCTTCCAAGGTAGCAACTGTCTCAATCCAGTATAACCCAAGTCCCTGGCTCCTGCAATCAAATCAGAGTCCACGCAACAATACCTCACACCTCTCAAAATCACGGACTCCAGGATTCTGATTACAGAAGGGAAAACCATCATCTCACTGGTGTCCAAGTAACTGTAAGCCTGCCTCTGTGGGAGAACACAACTGAGACCATCACTTTAGGAATGTTCCTATATAGTTTAATGAACAGGAAAGTACCCTAAGGAAATAACCAGATCCACGGCACAGACTACCAAGTGCTACAGACAAGTAAAATGGGACAAGAACACATTCTCAGAATTGGCTGTTGGCTTTTGTGGCCACCAAGAATGAGATGGATGTTCTTCCACACTTCCACATCTACTTATGCTCAGCTAGAAAATTTCCTATTTTTCTATATTTTCAAAATTTCCTATTTTTATACACAATTATGTAATAGGAGACAAATCTTTTTCCAGAGTTGGAACTTTCATAAATTATAAGGATCATAAATTAAGTTATTAATAAATACAGATCTCAGAATTCTTCCACAAACTAAAAAATGACTTTAATTCTTTTTATCTTCATAGCCTGCACCTGTATTTTCTGTAGCTAGGGCAGAACTGCCATGACTTGAATAACTGTCTTCAGAGAACCAAAGAGAGGCCTGTATACAATGTTTTTTAAAAATGGTATTAAAATTAAAAGTCAGCACCTTGTCAGCATAATGTCCTTATCCCAGTGCTTTATTCGGCCTTTCTCCTTCCATTCTTCTCTCTTTCACTCAGTGCCTCACTTCTACCCAGATGCCTTTCAGTAATACTTGGCCCTGACCCAACAAACACCTCCAGGAAAGGAAAGGAACATACCCCAGTGTCCGCAGCCTGCGTCAGCTCCAGTCAGAGTCCTACGTAGGAGCTTTCCTCCATCTTTCACTATCGCCCTGGAGCAGTCAGTGGTGGGGAACCCATGGCACGCGCACCACAGCTAGCAGTCTGTTATCACTGAAAGCTCTATGAGGTTTGCCATCACTGCCCAGGAGGTGGAATCCACCCCAGCCCCATCTCACAGATGGCAAAGTGAAAGCTCAAAGAACGCAGGTAATTGGCCCCAGAACACAGAACTAGTGAATAGCATGGGCAGAACCCAAATGCAGGTCTACATGGCACTGAGGCCACTGCTCTCTGTTTATCTCCCAGGCAGCAATTAGCACAGAGTATTTCTAGCTTCTCCTATTACTTTCCTTGCCAGGGCACTGACAGACTATGTGGAGAGCAGTTGTTAAAGGAAGTCATGTGTTCACAAGTTAACACTCAATAACTTGTTTATAAATTAAGACTTCCACTCCAGAGACAAAGTGTCAGGTAAGAAAAAAGCTCAGGGCCGGCAAGATAGCTCAGTGGTTTAAAGCCCCTGCTTAGGCAAGCACGCAAGGACCATGGTTTGACCCCTGGCACCACATGCTGTACCAGCCCTGCCCCCAGGGTGGCTGAGCCAGCCACACAAAAAAAAAAAGCTCAGGAAGGGTGCCTAATACTGCCGTACTACCTGGTTATTATGTACCATCAAGGAAGAAGAATTTATACATCTAGCCAGACACAAGGGGGCCACTGCTGAGCCAAAGTAAGATGAGGCTACGTAATGACGAGATAAACTGGTCCTAGCTTTTCCCCTACAGCTTCCCTGTTTCTGGAAGATACCTACCAAGTTACACTGATGATGAACAGTAATACTTTTAAAACTCTGGTTGTACTAACAGTTACTGAAACAAAGACTGGTTGAAGAGTTCACCCAGATGAAAAAGGAGGATGTGCAAAAGCAATTTGGCTACAGAAGCTAATAAAAATCACTATAAACATTATGTGTGCAAAGGAAATCCCTCAAAGCACAAGGAGGTGAAGCTGTGAATTTGACCCAATAATGTAATAATTAAATTCTTTTCTTCTGGGACAACTAATTCTTTCAAAAATAGATTAAAAGTTTCCCTCTCCAACATTGTGCTTCATCTTCATCTAACTAAAGCACTTGAGCAATTTAAAAATTGATAATGATGAAAATGGTAGCAGAGCTGCATCACATATTCTAAAATGTTTGATAAAAATAGTGCACTTTAAATACTTACATTGACCAATCCGAAGTAGTGTTCATTGATTGGAAACTGCTCTGGACCAATGTCTTTTTCCAGAGCAGAGGCATTGGTGCCCTAAAAGAGAAAAATAACAATAGTTGTACTACATGTAAAAACAAGAAAATAAAAGCATACTTAGGCTTTCCACGACTTAAACAAGCATCTACTCTGGTTTATGAGGTGTTTGCGATGTTTACACTGACAGAAAAGGCATGAGACGTAAACCATTAGGTTAGTTCATAATCTCACCCCTATTTTTCCTCTCATCCAATGTATTCCTTTCCTCAACCTGTTCTATGTGGCCTCAGTCACCATCCATTAGGAAAGGAGGGCTTAGAGAGGCAGACAAGGAAACTGTCGCCAAGAGCTTCTGGATAAAATATCACCATCACAGACAATCAAAGCAGCTATAAAAACCAAGCACAGAGTACTATCCTTTTCAAAGTCAATTCTTCATTCTGGTGAGGATTTACTGTACACCCCAAGAGCCAACTGATAAGAGAACAGGGAACAAAACAGGCCTGGATTCCTGCTGCCATGGAGCTTCCATTTTATAAATGAGGACAGCCAGGAACACAACGCAAGTACATTGAACAGTACATTAGGAGGTAATAAGTACAACAGAGAAAAATAGAGCAAGAAATGGGGATGGAGACAAGAGGAAGGATGTGTGGAGAGACCTACAAGTGGTAGAGGTGGGATAGCAACACCTGGAGGAAACTGAGCAAAAAAGAAGGTCTGGCCAGGGAAGTGGCTCAGTGGCACAAGCACCTGCCTTGCAAACACAAGGTCCTGAGTTCAATTCCTGGTACTAACCCCCCAAAAAAGGCCTTATGAACTGTTCAAAAAGAAAATTATGAGTAATGGAGATAGAACCTGCAGCTCTCAGATGCATCAAACTAGTAACCCACCCACGAAACAGTCCAACCTGATAAATTTAACAGTTACGAGGTATTCTTGCTATGTACCAGGGACAGGATGGTTTCCTGTTATGATTCCCATTTAACAGACAATGTATTTAAAGTTCAGAAGAGTTTAAAAAACTGTCCTAAGGCCAGACATGGTGGTGCACCTCTATAACCTCAGCACTCAGGAGGCCAAGGCAGGAGGATCCTGAGAGTTCAAGGACAGCTTGAACTATATAGTGAAACCCTGCCTCAAAAAGTCAAGAAAGAACAAGAGCTAGACCTGTGCCAGTTCATAGTGAAGAGAACCCATGCTCTTAATCTAATGCTACCCAGAACAATCCTAACCACTAAATCACTGACTGCCGGTAACCAATGATGAATTGTCATTATTACCCTAGGCCTGAATAAATCTGCTTGGATTAGGAAGAGTGACTAAAGTTCAGTACAATAAGGTAAGTGACAGTCAATCCTCATTATCCTTGGGAAAACTAATTCCAGGACCCTTCTGGAGATTCTCAAGTCCCTTATATAAAATAGGTGATATCTGCATATATTCTCCCATGTTAGTCAACTTCCATATATGCTAAAACAAATACCTGAGCTAAACAGTTTATAAAGAGGAAAGGTTTATTCTGGCTTATGGTTTCTGTGCAGGGTCCTTTGGACCCATTGTATTGGGCCTATGGCAAAGCAGAATCATGGCTGGGACCTATATGGAAGAAAGCACTCATCTCCTTCAGGGCAGGCGGGAAGCAAAGAGAGGAAGGTCTCAATACTCCCTTTAAGAACATGTCCCCAGTGACCCCTTTCCTTCACGAGACCCTACCTCTCACACCACCAGCTGAGGATTGAGCCTTTGCACGTGAGCCTTTAGGGGACACTTAGATCCTGATCACAACGGCCACATACATCCTGCTGCACACTCCAAACCACCAAACACAATGTAAATGCTGTGCAAATAAACAGTTGTTAGACCAGTGTGTAGAAGTCTATACATGTTCGGCACAGACTCAGTTTTCTTACTATACTTAGTACCCTGATCTGTGCAGAACCTGTGGGTATGGTGGGCCAATGGAAGAGTGCACAGAGAGCAGGATCGGAGTCCTCTATGGCTCTGCCATCGTTCTGTCACCTCACACTCTCAGCCTGTCACAGAAGAGTCCCAGCTCACAGAAACTCAAAGATTTAGGAAACAGATATAAAGTAAAAGGGACATGTTCCCTAAGAAATAGCCTGCTGCTCCGCTTATTCTTGATTTTCAGTTAGTATCTCCCTCTCAGAGGAAGCAATGGCCAAACAGTAGGCTGAGAACAAGTCAACATGGTCACCAGTCACCAAGCAAACATCCCATGCAAAATAACCCAAGTCTGTGGACACTGTGCCTCAGGGACAAGAAAGTGACTAAGACAACTGGTTTTGTATATCTTTTATACCATCCCACTAATCTAAATTTCTTTCTCTGTCTTCTGAAGAGTTGGGGGAAGAAGAGAATGAGAATGTGTGTGTGGCAGAAGGTATTGCCTTCACAATCACGTAACTCCATTTACGAGGCTGAACTTTTGCAATAACATAACAAATTATGGCAGGATTTTAAAGTATAGACAAAAATTACTGTAAATTTTCAATAAAGTTACATCTCAATCATAAATCCATGTAAATGATATGTATTGAAAGTACCAACAGACATTTTTCAAGAAAAATTAGAATCTATGGCTTAGAGCCCAGAAAAAAAAAGTTAATATAAAAATATAGCACATGGAGATAGAGCTTATTAAATCTCTTTAGGAAAAAAACAGCAACATATTCAAGTTGATCCATAATTTTTGCTAGTTGGAAAGTCTTAGATTGAGTCTATCTCATCTCCCTATCTTCCTGTTTTCTCCTCTGCAGAGGGTGAGCTGAGGAAGGAGGGAGCAGAGTTATCCTGAGAATAGACCCAGCACAGCACCCACCATGAAGGGCTGGTGAAATCAGCACCCCACAGCATGGCCCCCAAGGAGGGAAGGAGGGAGGGAACTATGTCCTGCAGGAAGGCTGGCTCCTCCCTGAGGTCAGCGCTTGCTTTGCCACCTTTAAGGCCAAGTCTGTCCACTCTCTGCGCAGTGTGGAAAGGTTAGAGGAGAGGCTGGCTGGGACAGATTCTATCAGTTCCTCTCTCTCCCTCAGGCCCAGGACGCCCATCACTGTACCAGCTCTCTCCGTTCTTCTCACCTTGGCTCACCTTCATTCCACTCCTGCCAACATCCTAGATGGTTTCTACATCCATGCAGATGAGCCACCTCGCCATGTTCTCTCTGCAACTCAATGTCCTGGTATCCTCTCCACATCAGGCACCTCTCCCAAAGCTGTGCCCAGATCAGGCTGCCACCTGAAATTCTCAAGTCCAGTTGCCCACCGTCCACCCAAGCACACTTGTGCACACTGCTTACGGAGCCCATTCTAGGCACATTTATACCTCACAGGTGAGGCATGTAACGAAGTCCAGGTCCCCCTTACCCTGTCCTTTAGCTATGATACCAGAAAAAAAAAATTTTAAAGGATGAACCAAAGTATCTACCTCCTCTGAACATACAAAACCAGACAAATGTACAGTTGTAGAAAAAAGTCAAACAAACACTAAGTAGATTCCCTAGAATCTGCCTGATTCCAGTGGTCCTCAGCATGATCTATATTTTAACACTGCTCTACTGCATTCATGGACCGCCCCACAATAACTATTTCCAACTTACCCCAAGTGCCTCAGAACTTTAGCATCTCCTCTATTCCTCTTGTACTGCCTTTCCCTCTCAAATAACAAAACAAAACAAAACAAAACAACAACGGGCTTTTTTTTTTTTTTAACCAGCAGACAGGGATTCCCTTAATGTGTCACTCACAAATCTGCATCTCCCTTGTTAATGATGGAGATGTCGCTCTTGCCCACGGATCTCTCCTTTCCTATCAGATCAATCTCATTTAAGCTCTTGCCAGGATTTCCATCCACATTAGAAACACACACTCCTCCAGAGACTTCCCCTTTAAGATCTCATTCTCACTCCTCCTTTGGAGCTTAACTTTCTAAAATAACTACCTCTGCTGAAATACTTACTGGATGAATCATGTGACTGCTAAGGTTTATAAAGTGAGACAAGGGAGGGCAATAAAACTCTATTACTGAAGCTGGGCAGTGAGGGGGGGCTCCCTATACTCTATACGCTGCTGTTTATAATTTCTTTATGTACAGTCACGCATCATTTAACCATAAGAACACATTCTGAGAAACACATCATTAGGTGATTTCATTATTGTGTGAATATTATAGAGTGTGCTGGTATATACCCAATGACATAACTAGGTTACACGGTATACTGAATATCCTATAGCTCTTAGGGCCACAGTGAACAAAACAACCTAAAATTATCAAATACGAGAGAAAGTGATACAATTAAGACACATGTAGTAAACCAGGCATGGTGGTGCACACCTATAATCCCAGCACTTGGGAGATGGAGACAGGAGGATGACCCCAAGTTCAAGGCCAGCCTGGACTACATAGTAAAACCTCATGTTAAAAAAATAAGCTATACAAGGCTGTTTCCAGAGTTAACACAGCATACTGTTTTACAGTAAAATTTTTATATAAGTAAAAGGAATATATCCTGAAATAAAAAGCACAATGGAATAAAGCACGTGACAATATGGACACACAGGCATATAATGCGCCCCCAAAGATACCCTTGCCCTAAGCCCTAGAACTGGTGAATACATGACCTTCCAAAGCAAAACTCAGATGACACTAATTCACTCATCAGTGGACCCTCACAGAGGGAGGCTGGCCTGGACTATATAAAGGGGTCCAGGGTCACAACTATGCCTCCCAGGGGTAGGCAGGGCAGAACGATCAGATCAGTGGGATGCAGGGTGGAGGACTCAACCTGCCTCCACAAGTTCTAAAGACAGAAGAAAGGCCATGGTGAAGGAATGCAGGTCCCCTCTAGAAACTAGAAAGGAAAAAACAGAGTCTCTACTAGAGCCTCTAGAAAGAACTCAGGTCTGAACTGCTGTGGCTTTGCCCCAGTTAAGAAATGTTCTGGACTTTAGACACTCAGAGCTCTTAACATAATAACAGGGACATAGAAAGTTGGTGTTAATATGTTTGAGGTTTTCCATTATAAAACCTTCTATAAG